CTTCCTTCCTTCCTTCCTTCCTTCCTTCCTTCCTTCCTTCCTTCCTTCCTTCCTTCCTTCCTTCCTTCCTTTCATAAAATATATTGGAAAACTGCTCAGCTATGGAATAGAAATCAAAGGCTGGAATGTGACAGGAAAACTGGATTTCTCTGCTGTGAAAACTTTAATCCATAATCAGGAATAATTTAATTATTCTGAGCTGGATTGTGCTATATTTTTGTCTTCTATAAACCCAAAATTGTTTGATCAGCAATTACATTAAAAAGAGTATTGACAGCTCCTATAAATTAATAGTTCTTTCTTTTAAATTTTTGCATTTATATTTTTATGTTTTGTGCAATGCTTTAATTTTTCTTACATTTAAGGGATTATTATTATTATTATTATTATTATTATTACTTACAAGATGAGATACAGTTTTCTATTTATATTAGCAGTCTTCTGTCTGTGAGATATGGACCAACCAGAATGCAGGATATCCTTACTCAGCAGTCCATCAGGTTCATAATGTAAGATATGTCAATAAATGGCTATGTTGTCACCGTATTGCTGTCCATTGTGCTGCTTTGGTGTTGGTATAGGTGCCTTGCTTCTTGGATTCCTGAAGGCAGTGTGTAATATCTAGTAATTACCAGGATTCTGTTTGTTATGTATTTGTTTTTTATAATCTGCAGTTAGCATGTTTGAGAGGGGAGGGTGTAACCGGATGCAATTTTTAATGCTGCAGTGTGTAATGTCTGATTTTTTTCAATTCCTCCATCTGTATTTCAGCTTTTGTTTCAAGTAGTTGTCTTTGTTCATCTTTAAAGACAATAGGTGTAAATTGCATACATTTTGCAATTTGACACTATTTTGTGCCTTTGTGGTTAGTCACCCAGGTTGGTCACCTTTCTAGTTTGTCAAGACTTTTTCTCCAAATGTCAAAAATAGTTATCTCAATGCACTTCCCAGATGGTGTCTTGTAGTACATATTTACTTTTAAATGGCTTGCATTCAGATATAAAAAAGAAAATGTCTTGAAGCAGTATCATACTCTCCTGAGCCATATATTGAATGCCAGCCTTAGGATTGTCTCCATGAGCTGCTACTTGTCCCTGCTACCCATCTTAAAACTTCCTGATTTATATGCAAAGTAGACACTGGATTTCCTGTTCATGTTCATGATACATACACTTTTTCCAGTGGAAATACTCATATTAGTATAATGAAACAAAGCGTGGAAATAGCTTTTAGTTATAACCCACCTTTGCAAAAATAGGAGGAAAATTATCACATGAACATTTGTCCATTTCTACAGCCACAGTACACTTCTTCACATTTAACACTGTCCATTTTGATTGTACCGAATATAATGATATAGTAGTTATTTTATTATATAATATTTATTAATATGAAGAATTACAGATAATAACCTATTTAGTAGTTGAAAGGGAAGCGGGAATGCTATCTGAATTGATTCCTACATTTGCTTCCTCCTACCTAGAAAGAATTTAGGTTGGAGAAGGAAAGACCCATAAGTAAAACAGATGTTATATTCAGTGTCTTTTTTTTTCACTGGGTCAAGTTGTGCAGTAGGTGATGTCCGTTTTTTCCTTCCTTTCCACTGACAGGAAAGTGGGAATGTCACTGGTTGAGCTGTTCTGAGAGCTACAGCACAGAAGTAAGAGATGCTCGATCTAATGGATTCATGGCATCTCAACAAATCAGGGTTTCTTACACAATTCAGGTGGAATACCATAAACTGGCATCTACAGTATGGATCTTTCCCTGGGCAGCCAAGGAACTTCTAATAACATAATTAATTATTATCCTGTCAGTGGTACCTCTTTCTTCTAGAACCGAATCTCTTTTCAAATACCTGTCAGCATTGGGTAGAGTTTAGGATTGCTGCTAAATAAATGTAGGATTAAAATTAATTTGAATTATGATCATTTTGATATGAGAATAAAATTGTAACAATCTATTTTGAATATTATTTACATAAAGCAGATTACTTATGATATATAAATTAAAGTTCAGTGGAAGAATTATGCTATTTTTAAATGAGACACTAAGACTAATATTAGAGTGCAGATTTCTTCTGTATTTTTTTATTTATGTCTAGCTTTAGAGTCATTCTTGTTTTAATTCCATCTCAGTTCAATTCTGTAATCCCAACCAAAATCATAATATAATTTAAATGGAGTATGAATATCACAAGAATGCTTGGACTATATACTGTATGTATGACATGAACTGGATTTCTTTTACTTTGTTATAGGTGTCACTTTCTAGTTCTTGAAGTGGAAACAGTATAAATATTTTTCTTGTAATAGCTGAATAATAAATCTTCCCCCTTTCAATTATGCAGTTTATCTGGAATTAAAATCTAACTAGTGGTTACACAGCTGGCTATAAATGAACAAGGAAACATTTCAGTGAAAAAGAGAATCATTATTGCAGGGAATTCTGGGCTATGGGCCTTGCTCTGTGGCTGACTCAATGGAGGACTATAGAGAAAGGCCTTTCCATCTCTGCCTTTGGCTTTTTAAAACTATTTTTTGTGGATCAAAGCTTTAAAACAAGTGTTATCTTGACAAGCTATTCCAGTAAAAGCAAAAACAAAACCTTTGAGTGTAATCATATTTCTTTGAATGACATTAATAAGATTACTTTAGCAAATGGACAATACAACTGCATGTTTTATGCTTGTTGATAATATTAAATTGCCATTTCTGTAAGCAGTTCTAATTACTAAAGGACACAAATGTGTGTGAAAAATTCCAAACTCAAATAATTCTAATGGGAGTATTGAATATATGCTTAATAATAATTTTAAGCATAGTTATGGTCTATCATAGGTCTTTACATATACGAGATGTACCCTTTATCTTACATATACAAGATGTATCCTTAAATGCATCTTAATTAAGGATTGGGATTGAGGGTATTAACAAAAGACTTCCAAACCAGGAGGTCTTCCAGTCTCCATAGACTATTAGCAGTGTGTGCTACTGTACTGGCCAACTGGTGAAATAGCAGTCATTTTCAGGAAAGTTTCTCAATGTATACGTGGCAGGCAGCATGGCCAATCAAATACTGTCTTTATAGGTACATGGCCAACAATGTACTGCAGCAAAGATAGTCCTACTTCACTCAATCTCCAGTATTCTCTTTTGTTACCCTACTTCAAGGACAGAATTTGAATATTCAGCTGTCTGCTGCTTATGTAGTCTGTTCTAAGTTCTAATTAAAATGAAACATGGCTGCTGCTGTGTGAATTAGGTAGCCAACACTTGGCATAACACTTTTACAGTGCATGCTGATAATGGCAATAGAAAAGCCTGAGATACAGGTAGAGAAATCAAAGAGGAAGGGGCAACCTTATTAGCAGAAATGGAATCAAGTGATGGGGAGTGAGGAGGTAAGAAATGAAAAATGACAAAAGGGAAAGAGGAGATAACAAGATAGAGGACAGTGTTTCTCAAACTTGGCACCTTTAAGATGTGTGGACTT